CATCCTCCTCATGCTCTCACCCTTTCTCCTCATTTTCCCCGCCCCATCCTCCTTCTCCTCCTCCTTCTTTCCCCCTCCCCCTCCCCCTCCTCTTCCTCCTCTTCCTCCTCCTCCTCCTCCTCCTCCTCCTCGTCCTCCTCTCATCGTCCTCTTTCCTCCACCCCCTCATCTCCAAGCGGGGCGAAACATTCTCCATCTTGCAGCCTCGACAGTTTGGTTGAAAGGGGCTGAGATCCAGCGCGACTTGCAATGACAAGCAACGGTACCACTACCAACGCCCTCAGCCCGAGGCGCTGCCCCGCGAGAGGAAGACGGGATGAGGAGCAGGAGGAGGAGCAGGAAGAGGAGGAGGAGGAGGAGGACGAGGAGGAGGAGGAGGAGGAGGAGGAGGAGGAGGAGGAAGAGAGATGCTGTGGGAGTGGGCGGAACGACGAGCGGGAATCGAAGGAGCAGTAGGGGGGTGTTGGGGGGAGGGGGAGGCAAGCTAGATGTACAACGTGCATGCACGTGCGCGTGTACACATGCATGCGCTTATTCATGAGCGATGTACACGCGCACGCACGTCGTCTGCGCGCGAAACTCAAACGATCAAGGTGCAAGCCGCGAAGCGCCAATGCAATCTTGTACGTAGCACCCCGCAATTGCGGATAAGAGTGAGGGGGCGGGCGCGGGCGACGCGGGCGTCGTCGAGCCGGCGGACCTTGTGGCCCCCACCTTCCCTGTCGATGGCGCTGTCCTCCTCCTCCTCCTCCTCCTCCTCGTCCTCGTCCTCGTCCTCATCGTCATTGCCATCCTCCTCCTCCACCTCGTCCTCCTCCTCCTCCTCTTCTTCCTCGTCCTCCCTCTCCCCCCCTCGTCCTTTCATCATCGTCCTCCCATTGTCTTCCTCCCCCTCATCGGCTTCCATCATCGTCATCCCATTGTCGTCCATCATCATCATCATCACCATCATCATCATCATCATCATCATCATCATCGTCATCATCATCATCATCATCATCATCATCATCATCCCCCTCCTCCCCCTCCTCGTCCTCCTGCTCCTCCTCCTTTTCTTTCTCCACATTCTCCTTACATCCTCTCTTCTTCCGCGTTCTCCTCGTCCCCTGTTTACTCCTCCTGCCCCCCCTCCTTTCCCAAGATAACTGCAACGCAATCCTTTTTTCCACTTTATGCTCCCCGCCTTCTTTGATTAAGGCAACTCGCCAGGGCAGAGTTGCTGGACGGGCTGGTGTGGATGCGCGGGGCTTGAAGAGTTCCTTGCGGGCTCAGGCGGCATGCAAAAATCCGCTGCCGCGCTTGTCCGGCATTGGTTTGTTCAGTGAACGTGGTTTAGGTCGCGGGTGGGTCGCGGGTTCTCCACCTCCACCTGGAAGGAATGCAAAAGCAGCCCGCCGCAAGCGCCCCAAAAAATGGTTTGTACACTGAACGTGGTTTGGGTCGCGGGTGGGCCGCGGGTTCTCCACCAGGAACGAATGCAAAAGATGCCCGCCGCAGGCGCCGAAAAATGTGGTTTGTACCCTGAACGTGGTCGCGGGTGGGCCGCGGGCTCTCCACCTGAAACGAATGCAAAAGATGCCCGCCGCAGGCGCCGAAAAATGTGGTTTGTACCCTGAACGTGGTTTGGGTCGCGGGTTGGTCGCGAGTTGGTCACGGGGTGGGTCGCGGGCTCTCACCTGGAAGGAATGCAAAAAAGCCCGCCGCAGGCGCCGAAAATGGTGGTTTGTACCTTGAACGTGGTTTGGGTCGCGGGTGGGTCGCGGGTGGGTCGCGGGGTAGGTCGCGGGTGGGTCGCGGGTGGGTCGCGGGTGGGTCGCGGGTGGGTCGCGGGGTGGGCCGCGGGCGGGTCGCGGGCGGGTCGCGGGGTGGGTCGCGGGGTGGGTCGCGGGGTGGGTCGCGGGGTCGCGGTCGCGGGTGGGTCGCGGGTGGGTCGCGCGGGGTGGGTCGCGGGTGGGTCGCGGGTGGGTCGCGGGTGGGTCGCGGGTGGGTCGCGGGGTGGGCCGCGGGCGGGTCGCGGGGTGGGTCGCGGGGTGGGTCGCGGGGTGGGTCGCGGGGTGGGTCGCGGGGTGGGTCGCGAGGTGGGTCGCGGGTGGGTCGCGGGTGGGTCGCGGGTGGGTCGCGGGGTGGGTCGCGGGGTGGGTCGCGAGGTGGGTCGCGGGTGGGTCGCGGGTGGGTCGCGGGTGGGTCGCGGGGCGGGCCGCGGGCTGGGTCGCGAGTGGGTCGCGGGGCGGGTTGCGGTTGGGACGACGACAACAAGCAACAACAACAAACAACAACAACAAACAACAACAAACAACAACAACAACAACGAGAATCCGCATCGCGGAGTTCCACTTCAGCCACGCACCCAGGGACAGTGAATGACCGTTCGGCCCCCTCACTCTGATCTATATAGATATACATTCAAGACTGCATTGGCGCTTCGCGCCATGCACCTTGGTCCTTGAAGTTTTGTGCGCAGGCGGAATGGCAGGAAGGTGAAGCTGACAACTTAGCGATAACGTCTTGTTGCCTTTTGTGGCATCGCCGTTCTAATAATGTTATTCGTTATCCTTCCTCCATGTTTCTTTTTCCCTATTATCGCCATACCCTACGTATTTCCCACATCCTCCATTCATGTATACATATATATATGAGAGAGAGAGAGAGAGAGAGAGAGAGAGAGAGAGAGAGCGTCATTCACCGCCGCTTTACTGTGGAAAATTCCCCCCCCTCTTCCTCCGGAGCCCGGGGGTCCCCCCCACCCCCCCCTTCGAAAATCCCCCCCCATGCTGGAACCCCCCCCCCCCCCCTTCCCCCGGCAAACCCCCCCCCCTCCCCCCCCCCCTCCGGAAAACCGGGGGGGGTCACTACTGGTTCGAACCCCCCCCTCGGAAAACCGGGTGGTTGGTCACTACCGGTTCGAACCCCCCCCCCTCGAAAACCGGGGGGGTCACTACCGGTTCGAACCCCCCACCCCCCTCCAGAAAACTGGGGGGGGGTCACTACCAGTTCGAACCCCGCCCCCCCCCCTCGAAAACTGGGGGGGGTCACTACTGGTTCGACCCCCCCCACCCCCCCTCCCCCTCGAAAACCGGGGGGGGGTCACTACCGGTTCGACCCCCCCCCCCTCGAAAACCAAAACCGGGGGGGTCACTACCGGTTCGAACCCCCCCCCTCCTCGAAAACCGGGGGGGGTCACTACCGGTTCGAACCCCTCCCCCCCCCTCACCGCCAGCAAACGACTCCCGGTCCCTACCACCGTCCGCACCACATCCCCCACTGTTGTTCCCAGCGCCACTGTCCTCACCACCGCTGTCCCCACTGGTTCCACCACCGTCCCTACTGTCCCCAAGAATGCCCCCATTACTGTCGCACTGTCCCCACTGTCCCCACCACTGTTCCCACCACGGTTCCACTCTCCCGGCCCCAACCACTGCCCGACTATCCCCACTGTCCCCACGGTCCCACTGTTTCCTCCGCTGTCCCATTGAGCTGTCCCACTGTTCCCACCCTTGTCCCCACTGTCCCCACCACCGTCCCCACTGTACCTCTGTCCCATTGTCCCACCGCCGTCCTGGCCACCGCCCTCACCACTGTCCCCACCACCACTGTACCCTCCACTGTCCCACTTTTGTCCCCCACATTCCCACTGTCTCTACACCACTGTCCCCACCACCACCGTCCCCACCACTGTCCCACTGTCCCCACTGTTCCCACCATTGTCCCCGCTGTCCCCACCAGTGCCCCCACCAGCGTGTCAATGTGCCCACTCTCCCCACCATTGTCCCACCACGAAGCCACTCTCCCCACTTTCCCCACCACTGTCCCACTGTCCCCACTACTGTCCCACTGTCCCCGCCGCTGTCCCACTGTGGTGTCCCAGCGTCCCCACTGTCCCCATCACTGTCCCACTGTCCCCACTGTCCCCACCACTTTCCTCACCGTGCTACTGTCCCCACTGTCCTCACCACCGCCTTCACCACTGTCCCCACCACTACCGTCTCCACTACTGTCCCACTGTTCCCACCATTGTCCCCGCTGTCCCATCACCACTGTCCCCACCACCACCGTCCCCACCACTGTCCGCACCCCCTCCCGGTTTTCGAGGGGGGGGGGTTCGAACCGGTAGTCCCCCAATTTTCGAGGGGGGAGGAGGTTCGAACCGGTAGTGACCGCCCCGGATTTCCTGAGAGGGGGGGGGGCGAACCGGTAGTGACCCCCCCCGGTTTTCCGCCAGCAGCGGTAGAACACGCTCTTTCATATCTATATATATATATATATATATATATATGCGTGGCGGATTACGGAAACCCTGAACCCCAAAACGGTTTCATTTCTTGCGGACGCATTTTTTTTTTGCTGGCGGAGGCGGCCTCGTCTCACTTCCGCCGCCATTCCGCCGCCTTCCGCCGAAGAAGAGATGGCAACTCTTTCGGTCCTCGGAGACAAGGCCCTGTTTGGAACGCCCCACATGTACACTACCATCGTGCCTGGCAGAGGCCATCCTGGGACCTCACATGGTGTATGCGCCCTCCTGGCCGAGATCGGGTGGGTTATACTTTACACTCCGTCCCCTAGGGCCGGCGATGACCCCGACCATACACGGTGGTGGTGGTGGTGGTGGTGGTGGTGGTGGTGGTGGTGTGTAAATGCCTCCTGCGTATGCCAGACGCTCAATCGATCACTAGAGGGCAGAACATTCACCCCCATACTTATCACCCCGACACGCGAAGTCGTTTAGTAAATGCACCCAAAGAAGGAATCGAACACAGCAGGGTTGCTTAGCAAACGCCCACGACCGCTTAGCAAACGCCGATTATCGGGTCCAGGTGGTTTTCTCCTCCCCTGAATCACCAAGCATCAAGCACGATCAAGCACTGCATCAAACATTCACTCTATCAAACACTCTGGGTTCTTTCTGCTGCGGCCGTCGCTGCCGCCGCCGCCGCTGCTGCGCGGGCGAGCGGTTTGGCGGCCGCCGCGCGGGGCACCCGGTGGTGGGCCCCCGAGGCCCCGGCGGCGCGGGATCAGGAGCAGCTGGCTGCGCGGGTCTTGCGGGAGGCCTCGGGGCGGCCGGGGAAGCGCCGAGGAGGGGGAGGAAGCCGAGGACGAGGGCGAGGATGAGGAGGAGCAGGACTAGGAGGACGAAGAGGAGGAGGAGGAGGAGGAGGAGGAGGAGGAGGAGGAGGAGGAGAGGAGGAGGAGGACGGGGAGGAGGAGGAGGAGGAGGAGGAGGAGGAGGAGGAGGGAGGAGGAGGAGGAGGAGGAGGAGGAGGAGGAGGAGGAGTAGGCGGAGGAGAGGAGGAGGGGGAGGAGGAGGAGGAGGAGGAGGAGGAGGAGGAGGAGGAGGCTGGAGGATGACGGATGATGCTGATGCTGATGATGCTGATGATGGTGAAACGAAGACGAAGAGGAGGAAGGGGATGGGAAGGATGAGGAGAATGAGGAGAATGAAGGCCCGGATCTCAAAGCGCCATCGGCAGAATCACGGCGGGCGTGTCTCTATTAATCTGGGCCTTCTGGGGGGCCGTATCTGGGCCCCGGGGCCGGCAAGAAGCGATCCGCGATCTGAAACTGGTCTCTGCGACGGGGTCGAAGACTCTGGAGACCCCTATCGTGAAAAGTTACACCTGGGAGGCATAATCCTACCAGCCCTTCAAGGCGCGAGTGGTTCACAACGTTTCTTCTTCCAGCCCCCCTGCATTCCATTTGGGGAAGGGTTTATCGTTGTTCCCGATTGATATACACTCCCTGAAAAACACCCCCTCCCCCAGGCGACTGGCAGCCAACCAGGACCAATGAAGCCTCTCCCCCCCACCATCCCTATCGAAAAACAATACAGAATCCACTTTGGGGCAAAATCTTGGGTCATGATTGGGGGTCCGGGGCCAGGTTCCCTGCCCCCCAGCCCCACGCCCAGCCCCGCGACCAGCCCCGCGACCAGCCCCACGCCCAGCCCCGCGCTAGGAGGAGGAGGAGGAGGAGGAGGAGGAGGAGGAGAAGGAGGAGGAGGTGGAGGAGGAGAAGGATGAGGAGGAGGAGCGGGAGAGGAAACTACACATCAAACGGCCAAAGCAGCCAGCGATATCCCACACAAGCTAATCCCCACGGCACCAGGTGAGGCACAGCGCAAGCTGGCCGACCTTGTGCGGTTTTGCGGTAATGATACTAAACGTAGACAACAGCAACGGAGTAGCGGCGGCAGTGGTGGAAGCAAGACGAGGAGCAGGAGGAGGACAGAGGGACCACTGCATCGGAGCCCAAGCGCGAGCGACGCAAGCCGTCGCAACGCCATGTCCGCGAACAATCTCCTTGGCCGTAGGGGCAAGAGCCGGCCAAGCAAGCGGGCCGACGCCTCCTGGAGAGTGCCTGTGGCGGCAATCTGCAATGTACACGGCCGCGAGGCGGATGCTCTTCCCCCGGGCCCACCGGCGCGTCGAGGTGAAGGAAGCGGACGCCGAACTCGCGGACGACTGGGCAGCGCGCGTAGTGCTCGATGCTGTCCTCGCAACGGCACCCGAAGATGCATCGACCTTGCTCTTGAAATCGGCGGCGCGTGACTCAACCGTTCCACCACGCGCGCAGGACTGCGGCCCTCGCCGCGCCGGGAGGAAGAACTCAAAGACGGCAACGCCAGCTGCGCACGGTCAGCGCGGACACGTTCGAATAAGTTCATGTCACACCGCGCGAAGCGCCGCCGCATGAACGCCTCAAGGGTGGCACGGGTCGGAGGTTCAACAGTGGTCCTGCATGTCCTCTGCCACTGGCGCCGGAGGGTGATGGGCTCCTCCAGGGTACCAGAACCAGCCCGCCCTAGGATGCGCTCTCGGATCCGTTCGGTCCCGAAGCCGGCCTCTGTGAAGTGATCGACGACAGAATCCAATTGAAGGACGAAAGCAGATGCAAACCACGACGCCATGACGTGCAGGCGATCCAAGTGGTTCGATCGAGCGGCAGCTGCGCGGAGCTCCCTCGCGCGGGTGCGGATCGCGATGCCGCCATGGAGTCTGTTCTCGAAAGTGGCGACCTGGTGCTTGGCTGCGAGCGCTTATGCTTCGAGGTCAACCAGCCCGCCGTGGGAGCCGAAATGCGGTAGGGCCCGCAGGGCGTTGACGGTGGCCCAACACCGCGGACCTGGGAACAGCTTGGAGGCCGCGGTCTGCTCGAAGCGGGTCCCATTCGGGCGGAGGGGCGCCCAGCCGGGCGACGAAGAGTACGGTGAAGGTCCACAATCAACTTTTTCCCAAGCAGCCGCGCGCTGTCGGTATTTCTCCAGCGGTCTGTCCCAGGAGGTCGTGCCGCGGCCGGGCCCCAGAACGAAGCCGAGGTGCTCCGCCGAGGTCACGACGCGGATCCCTCCCCACGACGGCGCTGCCCTCGCCAACCGGTCCCTGAAGGCGTCGGGGGATTCCAGGTGGAGCGGGATGATCGTGGTCTTTCCCAGATGCAGAAGCAGTCTGGAGGCCCGGGCGTCCTCCTCATGTGTTGGGAGGGCGGGTGGTAGTGAGCGAGACGGCTTTGGACCTGGACAAGGGGGGGCCGCGGGTCGTTGAGTGTCCAAGAAGGCCTTGGCGAGAAGGCGTTGTTGTTGTTGTTGTTGTTGTTGTTGTTGTTGTTGTTGTTGTTGTTGTTGTTGAACACTATTTCTTCTTAAGAATAATTATTGTTGGGGCCCCTGGTGCGCGAACCCCCCGCCGCGCCTAGGCCGCAGCCTCATTTTCATCATTTTCGTGAGGAAGTCTCAGGCAAAACGGGTTGGTCCGGATCCGGTTGTGTTGTTACGATCGGTTTTCCCTGGCAAAAATAAGCTAAAGTGGACATTTCTTGTTCTAACATAACCAAACTTCAAGAATCCCTTGCCAAAAATAAGGTAAAGTGAACATTCGCGCGCGCAAGACGAAATCCTTCCAAAACCTTAGTTTTCGTTGCGATTTAAACATAAAAACATAAAAAACCAATGGTTTTTCAAACAAAAAATTGTCAACATTTCATCCCGCGCGCTCTTGCGGATTCGTAGGAAACCCAACACTTTTTAATCATTTCTGTCAAACGGGCTTTTGCGAGCAACTTTTTCGAACTTCTGCAACAACGGTTGCGCACCTGCCAGGGCCATCATCCCTGTCAAATAATACCATGCGGGACACATTCGTTTTTTCTTCGCGCGCGCACGCCGTCGTCGTCGGCCGCGGGGCCCTGAATAGTAGCCACGGTCGTCCGCATGCCACGAAGTGAAGTGTCCGAACGTCATAGGGCGGGAAGCTGGGTGTGGGTGGTGGCGAAGAGTCGTTTGGAAATTTGGTAGAGCTTGAACCGGCCCCCCCACAAAGTGGGGGTATTGCCCGCCTCCTATGAAAACCCTGGCACTGGTGAGAACGGTGTGTCCCCACGTGTTAGTAATTGTTGTTGTTGTTGTTGTTGTTGTTGTTGTTGTTGTTGTTGTTGTTGTTGTTGTTGCTTGTACTTTTCCAACAAAAACACCATGTTCCTCATGACCCGATTTGGGCAACCTGAAGGGGGAAGGCCTAATTGTGGACCGCCCCTCCTTTGACCGAGCTCTTCCAAGATGGCCCCAAGATTGCCCCCAAGGCTCCCAAGAGTACCCCAACAGGGCACCAAGAGGCGCCATAAGGCGCCCAGGAGGCCCCAAGAGGCCCCCCAAGAGGACACCAAGAGGTCCCAAGAGGCCCCTAAAAAGAAGCTTTCAGGAGACATCCGAAGAGACCTCGACAGGCATCCAAGAGGGAACTGGCCTTTCTACTCGCTCTCCTCCTCCTCCTCCTCCTCTTCCTCCTCCTCCTCCGCCTGATCGTTTCTCGTCACCCCTCCCTCTCACCCCTTCCCGTTCCTCCTCCTCTTCCGATTCCTCCTCCGTCCTCTTCCTGCTGGGGTATGCCGGCGTCCCCAAAGACTTCTTTCACTGCGTGCTCCTCCGCATCCGTGACCAGGGCAGCTCGCCTGGGCATCGTTTCTGGATGGGCTGGTGGGATAACGGATAACGCGATGCGTCTAGAATACCCTTAACAACACATCTTGATCATGAAGAGCACCTCGTCCTCTACTGTGCACACGGGAGACCATGCGAGATACCATACGGAAGACCAGGAAGGGGGACCACACGGGATAATATGCGAGACACCATGCGGAAGACTAGTCTGGAGATCAGGCGGGAGGGAAAACGCGGGCCACCGACTCTGGATCTGGAGGACCTCGCACCCGGCTTCAAGAAACACTGTGCGGGAACCTTACAGACAAGCCGCTGGGGGGACATGCGACGTCGGACGTCTGAGGCAGGCGTAAGCGGAAGGAAAGATGGGTTGCCTCTTCCTCCTCCTCCTCCTCCTCCCCCCTCCCCCTCCCCCTCCTTCTCCTCCTCCTCCTCCTCCTCCTCTCATTCTTCCTTCTTCTCCTCCTCCTCCTCCTGCCCCCCCCTGCTGATCATCCTCGTCCTCGTCCCTCCTCCTCCGCCTCTCCTCCTCCTTCCGCTCGAGAACGGGGGACTGTGAAATCACTCTGCGTTCCAAGGCACCTACTTGTACACATGTTCGTGGCAGTCACCCTGGCGCTGGCGCTGTGGCACCCACTGCAGTCGCCCTTGTGCACCCACTGCGTTGGGCGCTGGCGCTGTGGCGTGGAAAACCAACTAGTGCACATGGTCGTGGCTTGCCATGCGAAAGGCATTGGTGCTGTGGGCTTCTCGTTATTTCTGCCTCGACAATTACAGACGCTGTGCGCCCTGACCTGAGCCTGGCGAGTTCGTATGGCCGAAATGAAAGCACTGTCGCCTGCAAATCTCTTGAGTCTGCCACGCATTGAAAAAATAAAACACGCGTGCGCCTACTAAAACGCATGCGCCTGATCCAGCCATTCGCCCAAGCGGATTCTCACATTTCCCTGGCCGATCTGGCGCGCGCGAGCGGGCTGCGGCACAATAAAATACAAGAAGGACTGGAGCCAACCATGGCTAAAGCGCACGGTATGCACCATATGTCCCAATCAAGGTCGGCACGCCCACCAGACCACATCTAGTTTCGTACTCCATTGTGCCGCTTTGCCTGCTGTTCAAAATCGCGATGTGTGCTTACCCACGATCCTCATCGCGCTGTCAGCGATCCAGATTTTAAGCCTGCTTCACGGGAGCGTGCAACCATTGTACTTGCAAGGCGCCGCGGCCATCTCGTAATATTTTGTCCACCTTCTGGAACTTCGTCTGACTGTAGCTGGCGCTCCTGCGGTAACTGTCCCTCCACTCCGTGCTGACGCTCGAGGCTTCGCTATCACTTGAGCGACCAGTAGACGAACGCGCATGAACCAGAACAGCGGCCTGCCACTGCCATGTACCGCGCGGGCAAGTCAATCATGTGGCACGCTAGCTGGCCAATTCGTTTCAACGAAGTTGTATCCGTTCGATCGGAGCGCGGTGTAACCAAGTCCTCTAAGCCGTCCGAGTAGTAGACGTGCCTGTCGCAGGTCCGTTTGATTCCTCCCCACGCGCACTGCCCACGATTGTGGACCACTTTGGATGAGCCCATGCACGCGCGTCAATACTGCATCCTTTACATTTTGCCCAGGCCCACATGTGCCGATACATGCCCATATATCTCCTCTGCAACTAAGAACGAGCAATCATCAACAATGCACAATGTATAGATCAGTGGCACACCTACACTTGTACTTACGCATAGTTCTGTGTACTTATGATTATATAGCTATATGTTTGTACATCTGAATTATCGGCTGGGCGTGCAGTCTCTGGCGAACAGCAGGTACACGCCAACCCAAGGAATCATGCAGCGATGCCAGTGGCGTCTACAATGCTGCTTCTAAGGCCCACTTGCTAATCCACTCGCTCCCATTCGCAATCAGAGCTTTTCTTGCACATAGCGCGTGGATGTAGTCAGGGGGATCATTCGAAGGGCTCTGTCGCCTACGGGCCTCAACTGCGTCTCGCTGGGGCGATTGCAGCTTTGGCCGTGACCGCATTGGGTGATGCTGCACTGCCGCTGCCCGCGGCCCACACATTACCTATTGGCGGTGGTCCAACTCCAAGTCTACCCAATCCCGCAAGCCACTCGGCCTGAGCATCTCGGTCGCTCTGATTCTGGGGGATGATAACTCTAGGCGGATGTGAAATTACTCGGTCCATTGATATTCCAATAGTGCGCAATCTCGCTTGTTCCTGATTTGGAGAGAGTGTGTCTAGCTCGGGATCTCCTGCATGACACCTCCACTCCGTCTCCGCCGCTGTTCGGCTGGCCTGCAAACCGACCTACACATGTGTAGCCACCTCCTGCGTCGGAGAATAGTGTGCGCCCAGGTCCGATTCGTCTAGTCTGGTCTGAGACTTTGCACGTGACATCCCTTGCAGTTCTCCGCCGTCGTATTTGATTGCCGAAGCCTTTTTGGGGAAATGCAGCCGCTGCTGGTGCCGCTCCGCTTGGTACTGCTGCTGCTGGCGCTGTCGGCTGCTGCAGCGGACTTGGCGGCCTCGCTAGTGGTGGCTGTGGGGCCATTGGGAACTTCTGCGGTCCTCCAGGGGCTGGTTGTCCCACGGGTGTCCCTGGCGGCACGGGGGCCTTGCCACCACCCTTAGTGATGATCGTCTGCTGGTGCATCATGACGTTCATGTCCTGGATGTATATCTGCAGCTCAGCTTCCATCGCTGGCGACATCGATGGGTAAGGCCCTAGCGCTGCTGCGAGGTGTGCTGCGGGCCCACTTTGCTGAACATCCATATTTCCATCCTGCTGATCTCCATTGGTCTTCTGCTCCTCCAGCTCCTCGATGTACTGCTCCAGTTGGTACGTCTCCTCGCTCATGACATGGCGGTGCTCCCGAAGTTTGGTAACCTCCTCGTCCGAACGATCGATCATCACCTGCAGGTCGTGCTGCTCTCTGTAGGCCCTGTTGAAATTTGAGATCGAACGGTTCCGTCGAGGCCAGCGCGTACTTGTACATGGACAGCTCTGCCTTCGAATCGGGGTCGTCGTCTGCCTTCGAGTGATCGCCTGGATGTCCTGGTTGCGGATCTGGGCACTGGTCTTCCCGCTGCCCTCGCTTCCGTCTGGCCGTGCTTGTCCACCTGGTCGACTTCTTGACGGCTGTCGGCGCTCCCGTCTCCGCGATGGAGGGCACGGCTTTCGGCTGAAAAGCTCTTCGAGCTGATCCTTTCGAGCGGATCCTGGTCTGGCTTTGGGATGATCCTTATTGATCCTTTCGAGCTGATCCTTTCGCACTGATCCTTTCGAGCTGTGAGCTGATCGTTTCGATGGTGGCTGCCCATTGGTGTGTCAGGATTGCCCACATACGCTCTGCCAGTGCCTGTTAGAACGTTTCTTCCATTCTGCTGACGGCCGTGCTATGACATGAAGCACGCGAACAAAGAGAGACATGCAGGTACGTTAGTGACAGATGTGTGCTCGCCATCGGGCACCCTTGACCCTAGGGTGCAGGGGCTGTCTCGGGTGCCTCCAAAGAGAAGCGGTTTGGCCAGCTGCCTTGGGAGATGTATTACTTGAGCCCAAATAGCTACGGATCTCCTCCTCCTCCTCCTCCGATTCCTACCTCCTCTCTCTCCTTACGCATTCCTTCTCTTCAGCGTTCCCCTCCTGATGCTGCTGGTCTCAAGTTCCTCCTCCCCCTTTCTCTTCCTTACCCTCACTCCCTTGTCCTTGTTCTCTGCTCTCTTGCCCTCCTCCTCCTCCTGCTGCCCCTTTTCGCCATTTGCTTCCTCCCCCCCATCCCTCCCCTTCCCCCTCCTCGTTTTCGTCGTCGCCGTCACCGCCAGTATCGCCGCCGCAGCCGCCGTCGCCGTCGCCGTCGCCGTCGCCGTCGCCTTCGCCGTCGTCGTCGCCGTCGCCGTCGTCGTCGTCGTCGTCGTCGTCGCCGTCGTGGTCTTCGTCGTCGTCGTCGTCGCCGTCGTCGTCGCCGTCGTCGTCGTCGTCGTCGTCGTCGTCGTCGTCGTCGTCGTCGTCGCTGTCGTCGTCGTCGGCCGCGGGCCCCGCACGGAGAACGTGCCGATGCTCACGTCCCCGGCCGAGAACTCCAGCTGGTCGCCCTCGCGCAGGGGCAGCCGGTAGTCGCGGCACGCCTCACGGCGCCGCGAGCCGGCGCTGTGGCGGCGGCGACGACGGCGCAGACGACCTCTCGCCTTCTTCTTGAGGGAGGACGAACCACGAGGGAGGAGGGAGGTGGAGGAGGAGAAACGGGGGGTGGGGAGGAGGGGGGGTGGGGTGGGGGGGTGGGGATGAAGGGAGGAGGAGGGCTTCTGAGAAGCGGCGGCGCCTGCTGAGAGGGCCCGCCCCCTGTCACTTCCTCCCTCGGCGCGCCGCCGAGTATCGGACTGGCGCGTCGTCACGTGTGGAGTTTTTTTTTGCGAGGCGGAAATATATCCATATCCATGCCCACCGCCTGTGGAACCGACGTCCTGGGATCCCAGCGGGCGGTGAATATGGATATATTTTGGTCGCAGGGGGCTCGGTATCGACCGCCTGCCCCTGAGATCTTGGCGACTCAATTTTTTCGAGCCGGGCGTTTTCGCCCCGTTTCGGGCCCAAGGACCCTCACAGATCGATCCGACTCGAAGAATGACGCAGAAAGATCGGGTCTAGGGCTCCTGGCGTTTTTTTTTGTCGCGATGCTACAATTGTTTCGCAACGTCGGATCTCAGGGGCCGAGGTCCCCGAGGATTGACCCCTCAGGCGCTTGTTATGTAGAGGCTTCCTAGGTGGTGTCGGGGAAGATGGGGTCAGAGGATCGCGCCGCATCGCCGATACATCGGCGATGCATCGGCTATGCATCGGCGATGCACCGGCGATGCATCGGCGATGCAGGGCGATCCTCCGACCCCATCTAGGAGGCTGTGCGCGCACAGTCCCGTTTTCGGCTTCAGAAAGGAGAGGAGGAGGAGGAGGAGGAGGAGGAGGAGGAGGAGGAGGAGAAGAAGAGGAGGAGGAGGAGGAGGGGGAGGAGGAGGAGGAGGAGGAGGAGGAGGAGGAGGGAGGAGGAGGAGGAGGAGGAGGAGGAGGAGGAGAGAGAGAAGGAGGAGGGAGGAGGAGGAGGAGGAGGAGGAGGGGGAGGAGGAGGAGGAGGAGGAGGAGGAGGAGGACCGCCCTGGAGTGGCTACGAGGCTGCTCTAGGGTGGTTTCTTCGTATCCCCACACTTGTCTTCTCGGCCTTCGGCTGGGGGTGTCTGGGCTGTTAGGCAGCCCGTCGCCATCAACTGCGACAGTGGATTCGCTCTGAGCTCGTGGTTTCTCAAGAAAGCGGCCCACTTTCGCATACTGGCGAGACTCGGCTTCAATGTTGACACCGTCTGGCTGGAACGGTCTGCTTTTGGAGCGACGTCGACAAAGCCAGCACAACTGCTGTAAGTTGATATCCGAGGTTCGGCGGCGCACCCAAGGCGGATGGGCCTTCTGAGAATCTTTCTAGGGCTTCTCTCAAGCCGCAGGGAGCTGCTCGGAAGGCCATGGGGCTTCTTAGAAGCCCCGCCGCCCTCTGAAAAAGGCCTGGTCACTGTCACTTCCCCCCTCGGCGCGCCGCCGACAGGTCAGCCGCCAGGAGTTGCACACGGTACCCTGTCACGGCCGATGCTGCCATGCAGCAGGGCCCTAGATCTTGCAAGGACACGACAGCAAGGGCCGCCGAAAGACTTCTCTCGGGCGAAGCAGCGCCCGTCCGAGGTGTACCGCCTCCTGGCTGGGCACGCGGGCGCCGTCTGCCAGGGAGGAAGGCGGGCGACCTGAGGGACTGGTCAAGTCGTCAGCCAAGAGCTGAGCATTTTCTTAGGGTGGAGGCCTCAATGTGAAATCCACATGGGCTTCTGCACTTCGAAAATCCATCCGTCTCGTGATCCACCTCTTGCAGATTCAAGCCTCGAAGATCCATCGAAACAACATTCCAGATTTCAAACTTTGCCCTCCACCCATAGAACATGCTCGGAAGAGGGGTCTTGCCGATCCTGTTCTTGCGCTCGCTCCTTTTCGCCCTATTGGTCCGGACCTAGTCTCCCCTTGCTCTGGGGCCCAGGCCTGGGGCGCAGAGCAGGAAAAGAGCGCCGAGTCCAGAATCCAGGAGGGCAGGCTGCAGATTCATCTTCTGTGCCTCTCGAACAGGACAGGTGGATGGTGATGATGATGATGATGATGATGATGATGATGATGATGATGATGATGATGATGATGATGCCGATGATGATGATGATGATGATGATGATGATGATGATGATGGTGGTGGTGATGATGATGATGCTGACGATGACGATGATGATGACGATGATGATGATGACGATGATGATGATGATGATGATGATGATGATGATGATGATGATGATGCTGATGAGGATGATGGTGATGGTGATGGTGATGGTGATGAGGAGGATCAGGATGGGCGGGGGTGGAGAGCATATGAGACACAGTGTGGGGAGGAGCAGGAGGATGATGAAGAGAAGCAGAGAGGGGTGGAGAAGGGGGTGGAGAAGGAGGAGGAGGAGCAGAGGGGGAGGAGGAGCAGGAGGGAGGCGGAGCAGGAGAAGGAGGTAAAGGTAAAGGTAAAGGCCGTTGGGGGTCCTTGGTCTGCAGCAGCTCTCGAACCTGCAGGAGCCCCTAGGGAGTATTATGGAAGCATAGGGGAGGAGGAGGAGGAGGAGGAGGAGGAGGAGGAGGAGGAGGAGGAGGAGGAGGAGAGCAAACCCAACATCCATCGGCGCTGCTGCAGTACACCCTCCCGTCCCAGGCCCCCGCCGCATAAGTCCCCGAGGCCTCCCTTTGCGCTGCACGGAGCGCGCCCTTGAGAGACAAGCGCCCTGTGGGTCTGCCGCTCCGGCCAGAGCAAGCCTTGGGAGGAGCTGCCCCGTACCCCTCCGTCGCGTGACAGGGAATGCGAGACGGCGTGGTCCTACAGTTCAACGAGGCGTCCAGAGATACCCCCCATTTTGGAAAGGGCAGTCAAAACATCCACCCCCAGAGTAACCACTCCGACGCGCGAAGTCGTTTCGTAGACGCGCCGAATGAAGGAATCAGACAGGGCAGGGCTGTTTAAAACCCCCCCCGCCGTTTAGTAAACGCCAACTGTCCGGTCCCGGGGGTTTTTCCTCCCTTGAGTAAAAGGCCCGGCCCGTCAAACAACTCTCCGCTCCCGGCCATGAACTTCGCCTTCGTCTCAAGCGAGAGACCCCTTTTGGAGAGGAGCCGCCCGCCATCCGTGCAGGTGGTGCATCTGTTGAACTGTCTGGTGTTTGAGGTTGACAGACGTATTAAGCGAAAGCCCCATTTTGAACACGACCTCATCCATCCATGTGGCTGGTGCACACTTTTTGTACGAATGTGCGTGGCGGTAAAGCGAGAACCGCAATTTTGAAAAAGAGCCACCCTCCATCCGTGAAGCTGTTGCTATCTTTCATAACAAATGTGTGCGGCGCGACAGCGAGTCCTATGGTGAAAACGCGCTGCAATCGATAACTGAAGCTGCTGCTGCGTTTTTAAACCGAATCTGCGCGGCGCCAAGGCGACGGCCAATTTTGACAACGACCCCCGCCATCCTTGGAACTGTCCTTGGAACTACTGCATTTGAACAAGAACGTGCGCGGCGCTGAGGCGAGAGCCCCCGTGTTGAAACCGACCCACCCTGCAATCTTGAAGCTGTTGCAAATTTCTGACACGAATGTGCGCGGCATTAACGCGGGAGCCCCAGTTTGAAAAGGAACCCCCCTCAATCCTTGAAAAGCTGCTGTAAACTTCAAACTTCAGGATCATACATGGTGAGGAGGTCTGAGGCGAAACGTCCAGCCCGCTCTACCGAGACGACAGGGGGTACGACGGGGAGGCGTTATCCATAATTAAAGGAAAAAGAAAAAGGATGCGTGAGCGTTAGTCTCGGGTCGGGAGCGTGACCTCTCGGGCCGCAGCATACCGCCCTACAGGTTCGCTACCGGAGCCGCCCAGCCCCGCCGCGTCCCCGCCGGACTGGCCAACAATGGACGGCAAGCAGCTTTCATCGCGTCCGACTGCTCACAAGCAGGTCCGATGGTGGCTCGCCACAAACCACGCCTTTCAACGCGAACGCTGAGTCTTGGCGGCGCGCCCAGTGGGGGAAGTGTGTGGGGGCTGGCCCACGGAAAAGCGGCGGGGCTTCTCGAAGCCCCCCAGCCTTCTGAAAAACCGCCCGTGGCCTCCAAGAAAGCTTTTTTTGTTGTGAAGAGGGACCGACCGTCCTGGCATTCCCACAGGGCTACACCGCAAGTCCACAATGAGGCCTTCCTGCAAAAGGGTCTCCTACTTGTGTTTCGTCGCCCCATCGGGAGCTTCACCGCAGCCAAAAGCTTCTCAGAAGGCCAGACGCCTGCTGGGCGATCTGGGCAGGCCCGCATTCTCTGCTTCCCCCCTGGGCTGCACGGTTTCCCCCGGGGCCGTGGGTGACCCGAGCAGGAGGAGGAGGAGGGAGGAGGAGGAGAGAGGAGGAGGAGGAGGAGGAGGAGGACGGGTCGCCTAAGGCCGTCGGAGAAACCCTGCACCCTGGGCCCGCCGCCGAGGTCTGCGGGGAGAGGCAGGAGGAGGGCCACGCCGGGCCCTCGGGGCCTTGTAGGGCAGCGGGTGCTCCACGAGCATCGGTCGCCTTTACCGCAGCCACAAGCTTCTCAGAAGGCCAGACGCCTGCTGGGCGATCTGGGCAGGCCCGCATTCTCTGCTTCCCCCCTGGGCTGCACGGTTTCCCCCGGGGCCGTGGGTGACCCGAGCAGGAGGAGGAGGAGGGAGGAGGAGGAGAGAGGAGGAGGAGGAGGGGAGGAGGAGGAGAGAGGAGGAGGGAGGAGGAGGAGGAGGAGGATGGAGGAGGCGAGGAGGAGGAGGAGGAGGGACGGAGGAGGAGGAGGAGGAGGAGGAGGAGGAGGAGTAGGAGGACTAGAGGAGGAGAGAGAGGAGAGGAGAATAGAGATGAGAGTGAAGGAGGAGGGTGGAGGAGGAGGAGGAGGAGGAGGAGGTGGAGGAGGCGGAGGAGGAGGAGGAGGAAGGAGGAGGAGGATGAGGAGGAGGAGGAGGAGGAGGAGGAGGCGGAGGAGGAGGGAGGAGAAGGAGGAGGAGGCGAGGAGGAGGAGGAGGAGGAGGAGGAGGAGGAGGCGGTGGCGGAGGCCGGAGGAGGAGGAGGAGGAGGCGGAGGAGGGAGGAGGAGGGGGAGGAGGAGGAGGGAGGAGAGGAGGAGGAGGAGGAGAGGAGGAGGGAAGGAGGCAGGAGGGGAGGAGGAGCAGGAGGGGAGGAGGAGGAGGAGAGGAGGAAGAGTGAGGTGGAGGAGGAGAGGGGAGGTAGGAGGAGGAGGAGGAGGGGAGGATGGGAGGAGGGGGAGGAGGAGGAGGAGGGGAGGTGGGGGAGGAGGAGGAGGGAGGGAGGAGGGGAGGAGGAGGAGGAGGAGGAGGAGGAGGTGGAGGAGAAGGAGGAGGGCGGAGGAGGAGGAGGAGGAGGAGGAGGAGGGAGGAGGAGGAGGAGGAGGAGGAGGAGGAGGAGGAGGAGGACGGGTCGCCTAAGGCCGTCGGAGAAACCCTGCACCCTGGGCCCGCCGCCGAGGTCTGCGGGGAGAGGCAGGAGGAGGGCCACGCCGGGCCCTCGGGGCCTTGTAGGGCAGCGGGTGCTCCACGAGCATCGGCGCCTCCACGCGGCGCATCTCAAGCGGTAGCTGCCACGCGTAGGCGTTGCACAACCGCAGCTGGTACATCCCCGCGGCCTCCTGGGCGCGATGGGCGCAGACAGATGCGCGGACGCAAGCGCCCACATGCACGCAATATCAATCCGCATCGGATCCGGAAACCGAATCGGACCGATGCGTCGGGTCAATGTGCATCGGCACGGAGTCGGAAGCGAATCGAATCGGGCTGGCCAGAACAGGATCGGCTGCGCCAGGATGCACATGCAGTGAGGGGCAACCTTAGGGGGGACCAGCTCACGGGGGGAATATCGATCTGGAAGCGGCGATACATCGCCGATAAATCGGCGATGTATGGTCGAGGGTTTGGGCCCCCCCCAATGCTAATGCCATTGGCCCCCCCCCCCGCGCGATGGTCACCCCCCCCTCCCCCTGTGGATGTGGTGTGGTTGTGGTGTGTTGCTGTGGGTGTGTGTGTGTGTGGGTTGATCCAATGTCCTCCCCCCCTTCCCCCCTGTGGGTGTGGTGTGGGTGTGCGTGTGGCTGTGATTGTGGCGTCATGCTGACGTGCTTTCGGAAAGCTCCGGTGCTCGACGTCGTCGCCGGCGCTGGCGGTGCCGTCGACGTCGTCGTTGTCATCGTCGTCGTCGTCGTCGTCGGCGTTGTCGTCGTCGTCGCCGTCGTCGTCGTCGTCGTCGTCGTCGTCGTCGTCGTCGTCGTCCGTCGTCGTCGTCCACCGTCGTCCGTCGTCGGTCGTCCGTCGTCGTTGTCGTCGTCGTCGTCGTCGTCGTCGTCGTCGTTGTCGCCGTCGTCGTCGTTGTCGCCGTCGTCGTCGCCGTCGTCGTCCTCCTCCTCCTCCTCCTCCCATCCCATCTGGGGGGGGGGAGGCCCGAGGACCCTGGGACCCATCCCATCTGGGGGGGGGGCCCGTGGGCCCCGAGCCCGCGATCATATACCCCCGATGGCAAATCCACACTGTCACGGGCGGGGTTGGCTATCAGGCCGCTATCGGCGATGACTGGGCAGTTGAGGGTCTGTGAATCCCCCCTCACGCTGCCCCTGACGCAAACATCGGGCCGCATCGGATCCTCAGAACATCGGAGCGAATCGAATCGGGCCGGCCAGAATCGATATCGAATCGGCATTGAATCGGATCGAGATGAACCCTGCGCACGTGCATGCATGTGCATGAATGTATGCGCACGCATTCGAGGAAGATTATGCGGAACTCAAGCCACCCATACCCCCAGCGCCCCTGGCGCCCCCAGTGCGCGAGGAAGAGGCGCCCCGATCACGCCTCCAAAGACCGTTTCCAGGCAGAGCGCGGGACGCGCCAGGTGACTCAGGAGCTGGCGCTTTCGCGGGGAGGTCGGCTACGATACTCGTCCCAAATGCCCCCCACCACGCCTCCAAGGACCACTTCCGGGGAATGCGCTGGACGCGGTGGATGGCTTCTTACGGATCTCCGCCTCAGGGGATGGTGTCAAGCGCTCCGTCTATATGAGGTCCTAGAGGTTCCGCAGCTTACGCGAAAAAGAGGACGTTGCATGCCAAGCTCGTCGTCCTCATCGTCATCCTCACTGTCATCGTCCGTGGTCGTCGTCAACTTTGCCACCGGCACGGCCCACTCCTTACCTTCTGTATACGCAGTGTCCCGATCAGCCGCAGAGTGGTCAAATAGAACTCGCCTTACCTGAACATGCGTGTGTGCACGGTGCTTTGATATGTTGCGTACATGCGCATGTCGCAACGGTTGACAGGGCCATATCTCTTTACAGCATTTTGAGCAAAACGCTGTGCCTGCCTTGCAAATAATGCACCCTTGCCTGTGCAAGGGGGGATCTGAAACTGGGCCAGTTTCGTGGGATCGGTCGAAGGAATGCTGGGCTTCAAGGAAGGAGGGCGTTTTTTATCATCGGGGGTACGGGAGGTGGAGGAGGATGAGGAGGAGGAGCAGGAGGAGGAAGAGGAGGAGGAGGAGGAAAAAGGAAGAGGGGGAGGACCAGAGTAGACCAAATATGCAAGCGCGATGCTGTAATACACCCTCTCGTCCCGAGTACGCTCCTCGCACGTCCCTGCAAGTCCTCCTTTCACTTCAAGAAGCACCCCCCCTGAGTCCTGGAAGACCAGCACAGAAGGGCGTGCTATCTTGGCAGGGGCCCCACTTTGAAAAGGAACGGTCCTGCATCTTTGTGGCACGTGGTCAGGAAGGCGATAAAAGCCATGCAGTTCAACGAGGCGTCCAGCGATATCCCCCTTGAGAAGGAGGAGAAGGAGGAGGAGGAGGAGGAGGAGAAGGACGATGAGGAGGATAAGCGCAAGTAACGTTTTTTCCCCCAAAGAGCGCAAGTAGCATGGAGGAGAAGGAGGAGAGGGAGGAGGAGGAGGAGGAGGCGGAGGAGGAGGCGGAGAGGAGGAGGAGGAGGAGGAGGAGGAGGAGGAGGAGGAGGAGCGCCCCGGCGCTGGTGGCCACTTTTCAGCTGCCACGGTAGGTATGCTGGAGGACCAATTCTCCTGCGAAGGAGGAGGCGGATGATGCGGAGGGCCACGCCGCGGTCGCATTATCGACAGACGGGCTGCTCCATGGAGTCCTTAGCGTGCAGCCGCTTGCTGCACACCAGGGGGAGACGGGGGGAGAAGGAAGAGGAGGGAGAGAGGGAGGGCAGAGGAGGGAGGGAGGGAACAGGATGGAAGGAGGAGGGAGGCAAGCTAGGGGCGCCAGCGCCATATCTTACATCCTACCCCTCCCGCCCACTCCTTACCGTTGTGCTGAATCCATTTCCACCCGCCGGCCGGGGGATTCTAGAGGACTTTGACACACAGATGGCAGTTTCAGGATTAGACCCATCGTTTACTGTGCAATGGCAAAGGGGGCTTTCTACCCTGGATGAGGAGGATGAGGAGGAGGAGGAGGATGAGGAGGAGGAGGCGGGTGAGCAGGAGTAGGAGGAAAGAAGTAGGGAGAGGGAAAGGAGGAAGGATGTAGGGAGAGGGAGAGACGGGGAGGGAGGAGGGTGCGAGGAGGGGAGATAGCGGGAGTGCGGAGGTAAGGAGAGGAGGAAGGAAGAGGGATGAAGAGGGAGGAGGGAGGGAGAGGGATGGATGGAGAGAGGGAGGAGGGATGGAGGGGAATGAGTGGAGAGGGAGAGGATGGGAGGGATGGCGAGGGAGGAGGGAGGGAGAGGGAGGGATGGAGAGGGAGAGGGGGACGGAGATCGGGGGGAGACCCCGCGCACCCGCGCCCACGGGCCGCTCCTGGACCTGCTCTTGCTGCTGCTGCGCCGGCGCGGCGGCCTCGAGCTCGGGCGCCGGCGCCTGCGCCGTCGCCGCCGCCGCCGGCTCCGCCGTCGTCGCCGTCGCCGCCACCCTCCCCTGGCACCCGGGCGTTGCAACCGTTGCCGCACGGGGCAATGTCGCCCAATTCCGCGCCCCGGGGACATCACAGATGGGTCTGGCTCGACAGATGCAGCAGAAAGGTGGGGTCTGGGGCTCCGGTCGTGATTTTCTACGATGCTATTTGTTGCGACGGTGCGTCTCAGGGTCCTGTGGGGGGCCCACAGACGACGAAATTACGCGCCCAACGAGAAGCATTACTACGTCCCCGCAGTCCGCGAGGCCAGCCTCGTGTTACGAGCGCTCGCGCAATGTGTATGCTCTCGAAGCCAACGTAAATCAATACACACGTGTGTCTTTTTCCGCCCCTGAACCCACCAAAGGGTGCGGAGCGAGCGGGCCCCAGCTAAGTCAGGGCGGGTGTTGCCGCATCCCCCTCCCTCCCGCGCGCCTTGCACCCCCTCTTCCTCCGACGTCGCCGTCGTCATCGCCGCCGTCGAGGTACGGAGCTCGAGGATCGGTATTTTTTTTGGGCGTTGTCGCTTACTTTTCGGCGTCCAGAAGCCTCCTGGGACCCCTGGAGAGCTCTAAAGGCGGAGGTCGTCATCGCCGTCGCCGCCGTCACCGCCGTCGCCAGTCGCCGCCAGACCACTTGCGACGACGGCGGCGCGGCGGCTTCGCGCCCCCGTTGGCCTCCGGAGGCCGTCTCCGAGCCCTGGGACCCCGAGGGACAGGGCGCCTGCCTTCGCTCCCACCGGCCAGGCGTGGCGCGCCCAGAAAGGAGGCATGGGCAGTCGGCGCGCGCGGGGAGAGGATGGATTACACAAGGGCGGTTCCACACAAAATCCCGACTGTATAGCAGTAGGAGTAGTAGTAGTAGTAGTAGTAGTAGTAGTAGTAGTAGTCGTGGTAGTAGTAGTAGTGGTAGTAGTAGTAGTAGTAGTAGTAGTAGTAGTAGTAGTAGTAGTAGTAGTAGTACAAGTAGTAGTAGTAGTAGTAGTAGTAGTAGTAGTAGTAGTCGTAGTAGTAGTAGTAGTAGTAGTAGTAGTAGTAGTAGTAGTAGTAGTAGTATT